GGGGGGGGGGGGAGGGGAGGGGAAGTGTAGAGCAACAGCAAGAATAAGCCAAGTCCACAGAGATTCTGAAACCTATTCAGACTATGCACAGTTATAGAAGTAAAACTTCTATTTCATATCTCAAATTTGGAGGAAGTTTCTTGTGCACAAATAGCAGGTATTTAATGCCATTACATTAAAATTTGACAGCAATATTTTGATGTCCTAACCAGAACATAAGAGTGATTTAATTCTGATTTGGACTGAAAAATTGCTTCAGTGTAAAATCATTTTGACATTCTGGAATCAAGTATATGGTCATTTATTAATATATTTTCTTTTACTTAAATTTTAGAATTAAAATTTCTACTTTATATTGTGGAACAACTCAGAGCACGAAGCTATTAACCTGTGAATCAATTCTAGAAACTACTACTTAAGGCTTCCTCCTCAGAAAGTCCTATGGACTACAACACTTTGAGAAATTCATTTCTAGGTATGGACACAAAAATTCTCACTCCAAGGAAAAAAAAAAGCTTACCTTCACTCCAACTGACAATTTTAATATTTAAAGAATCAATATAAATTGTATGGACTTGACATATATATTTTATAACAGTTACAATTGGGAATCCTAGTTAGTTTTCTGGTTATAGTTGTTTTTAAAACAAAACTGGAAGGTTAGGAAATTTAAAAAAATGGTTTTCATATTTTACATTTATGCATACACTTTACTTTTGAGGGAGATTTTTATATAAAACACTCGTGCGTCAAAATGAGTAAAATCTTTTCTTCTCTCTCATTGGGGTTTTCCATACTACTTAGACAAATACATGCATGATTAGAGAACACAGTGCACCACTCCCTTCAATCACTCTTTGCCATAGTACAATAGAAAAATGAGTATTTGCTACAATGGGCATTGTAGGGTGCAAAGTTTCCAGCATGTTTTTTTGTACCCTTCACCCACACTGGTAAACATACAATCACATCTTAAAAAACAAGTTTTGCAACCACATGCGTACGTCATCATATCATTAACCATTTTATTCAGTTTGCCCAACTTCAAAAAGCAAGCTAGTGTTCATGTGCAAAAATCCCGAATTTGCCTAATTTCAGAGGCAAATTAGTGAGGATGGTTGTGCAAAGGCCATGTGGAAAGTTTAATTTGCCTCCCTTAATAAATCATCACTCTGTTAATTGGTCCATATCTCAACTGCTGAAGAGCAGATTGTTACTACATTTACTTGCACTTTAGAAAGTAAACAAATACCAGGCAGATACACCTGTAACAGTCCAATACATAATTGCTCTTAAAGTCTGAGGTGCATAACAAGTCTGCTTATCACAAAAGGATAGTATTCCCTTTCAAATCCAGTGATTTGCAGCCTAAAGAACAATTTTTTTCACTGAGATTTATTTTTAATTAAGACATCATATTCTAACAACAAAAGCAAAATTATTTGAGCCCTTAGCCATTCAACCTGAGCCTGTAACAACTTACACAAGATTCTGATTCTCATTCACACAAAATTAACAAGCAAAACCATTAAGTTATTCAAATCCAGGTACCAGCAAAACTTCAAGGGGGCAGGAAAGATTAAACAAAACAAAACAAACAAAAAACCTTGAGGGAGCTAACCATACATACATTTAGTGCTAAGATACCTAACCAACTGCAGAAAAGGCACCAACTTACATTAAAATTGGTATAAGCTTCCTTCCAGTTGGACACATTAAATGCTTTTATGCTTTGGAAGCTGCTTTTTAAAGCAAGCAAAGGGCAGGAGGCTTTGTCTAGTCAAGTGGTAAGGGAGGGAGGCTGATTGCAGCTCCTTTTAGAGTTCCCCGTCTGTGCTCTTCTACTTGAGCTGTAGGCAAATTGGAGGATATAACTTCTCTTGTCCTACGAGGCAGACTCCTCATTTTTAGAGAAGCAGCTATAATCCTCCCACACATGAAACCAGAATAAGTCAGGGCGTTGTGTTAGATCAAGGGTTGACAACCTAGTTTGTGCGCTAGATCCAGCATGTGAAGAGTTTTTTGGCCTGCCAAGTATACTAGGATAGCAAATGTAAACATAGCCCCTAAACCAGGGGCCAACAGCCTGTGGCCTATAGGCTAGATCCAGCCTGCAGAGCTATTTAAAGCATCTTGCAGACATGTGCAGCTCCAGCAGCATTTGGTTTTGGTGGGGGAGAAGCAGCAAAAACTGGGTCTTAGTATCTGCCTTCACACCTGACCTGGCCAGGGTCATCCTAGCCCACAGCCTAAAAAATTGCTAACCACCTGCCCTGAAGAAATGCACCATCTAGTGGCACAATACATTAACTGCTGCCTCTAACAGGCTTTAGGACCAAGCTGTGTTGATTCAGCCCACTGTTAGTGAAAGGTTGCCAACCCTTGTAGTAGACATTTTTCACAGCACAAGGGACAAAATGGTGGTGGTGTTTGCCCTCCACTCCCATAGCAGGACACAGTTGGATAGTGCACAGGAGTATGGTTTAAACTGCCACAACCTGGCAGTTGTTCAATAGCTTACTGGGTTCCCCAATAAATCAGAACTGGAAGCAGACTTAGTGGCAAGGCATCCCATAAAACAGATTTTGGACTTGGGCTCCTAATATCTGGGACATCAAAGGAATAGAAGAAACAAAAAAAATATTTTCCTCCCAGCCCTTTTAGAGTCGCAATGACCTGGGACCAGGTTTGAAATGATGCAAGATTGATGGCAGCAGCCATTCACAAACAGATGGAAATGAGCGAGGAAAAAAAAACAAAAAAAAAACATGATAACTTGCACTACTAATCTTTTTAGGAACAGCATATCCTGCATCTATGTAGGAGATTAGACAAAATTATCCTTTTGATCCCTGCCAGCTCTGATTCTATTTAGATCTAATATTTCCCCACTGAAATTCAAATTTAAAAAATTCTAGCCTGTATAAGCCACATCCTTCACACCTTGCGCTTCCTGCAAGCCCAGAACAATTAGTGTCCCAAGAGCTATAAAATTACAACTAATCTCTACAGTACTTATCAATATTGGATATAAGCATATGGTGTATTGCTGCTATATTACATCTGGGAAGACTCAGCTATGTATTAGTGTTATAACTCAAGTTTAACAGACAGGATCCTGGCCACATTCAGAGACTTTTACAAGAAAGAAAAGTGTCAATGGACATCAAAATTCAGTTTGATAAAAGATGACATCCTAAGATCACCAAGACTTATCAAAAGACCAGGTACAGTTTGGAAAATTGAAATACAACTCCCCCAGAATGCATTGGAAACATGAACTGGAGAGTAGGTAAGCATACCTAAGGAAAGAGAGACTATTCTTAATTTTTAAGATCCGTCAACAGGTAGTGCCAGTTGTGGTTTGAATGAATGCACTGTTCCAGTTTCCGGCTGACACTATTGCACCCTAGTGAAGCACAACAAAACTGACAATTCTTCCCAGTAATGCTACAGTCAATGAACAGGAATAATGAGAGCAATGAAATCATTTTCTTCTAAGAACGAAAAATGCAGTCTCCAAATGTTAAGAACAGTTGTCCTTCCAAATTTAAGGACTGTAACCTACAGTAGCTTTGCTATTCAGATATGATTTCAGTTGAGTTTGAAAGTTTAGACTTCTTACCAGAAAGTTGACACCAATTTTATATTTAAAAAATTCTATTCAGGCTAGAAATATAGTTTCATGAGTTTAATTAACCTCCTCCCTTTTCAAGAACAGGAGGTTACTACATTGCACTGTAAAATCTATCTACAAGAAATGTCTGGTACCACACTTTTCCTGATTGTAGTCCATTCAGCAGTCATTTTTGCTCAGTGTTACAAAGAAATGCTCCAATTTAAGCATGTACATTTTGTTCAGATAAAGTTCATGCATTTAGGCATTTCAAAAGGGAGGGAGGACAGATTGACACGTGTTCTATTAAAATGTTTATTAGCCATTTTAGCTTTCCCCACAAAACCTTCCAGAATTCCTATGATAGTTCTTAGAACGTCAGAGTAGAAAGTTAAGTATTCTAACAAAGTTGAGGGAAAAAAAAAAAGAGCAGCAGCAGTTTGGCAAAAATTCTTCAGATCACTTTTAAGCCTCCTTTTTCTCCAGTAAGATTTTGTGCAACTCATCTGCATCTTCACTTGTTTTCACTCTTATTAAGATAGTGATGGGGACAGTGGGGTTCTTCTCATCAACTGGTGGATTGGGAACACAGACAATAAGAACGTTGTTTTTTCCTGTTCTTGTGCATGGCATCTTGGGTGGAATCAAAACATTCAAGAGTATGTTGCCTGCATTTGTGGGGCAAAAAAACAAACAAAAAAACCAACAACACTATTAGGTTAAAATAACAAGTTTTAAGAAAAAAAAGTTAACGTGATATTGGTAAACTTACAAAGCAGGGATTTTAGCTAAAATGTGGACTGAAATAGTAATAATTTTTTCCACATTATTCCCCACACCTGTAAGAGACTGTGGCTGTGCTGCTCTGCTTGTCCAATAACATTGTGAAGTATCAGCAAATTGTTATGATTAGAGAAATTTTGCTCTGTGTGCAAAAAGTGGTAGAGGTGCAGGTGCAATTCAGAAATACTGCTGGGGATAACTCGAATAGTGTAAAGCAGGGGTAGCCAACCTGTAGTATGTGGCACAAGTGGCATGGGCAGCATAGCAGCACATAGGACCAGAAGCAGAAGGCACAGCAAAAGATTAGACAGGGAGCACAGGGCAGGAAGCAGACTGGGCAGGGAAAGGTAGAACAGATATATGCAAAAGCAGCATTAACCCAAAACATCTTCAGTTTGAGTATGCATCTCTAAATAGCAGCACTGACCAACTAAAGGTATAGGCAAGTTGAGGCCTTGTACCTTTGTCTTTCTACCAGTAGATACTGGAATATGCTGCTTTACCCTTTAACAAAAGGGCCTGTGCTAAATCCTTTTACGATTTGTGGCTGTAGGGAGCTATATGTGGTACTAGGGAATGACAGGATACCAAAATTAGAGGAAGTGGTAAAAGCAGCATGTTATAGTCAAGAGTCAGGTTTTTTATCAGAGTAAATTATTTTGCAGTTGAAGTGGGTAAAATGTCCCACATTTAAATTCCTGCTGAATAAGAATTACAAACCGAAATCCAAGCTCACAGACATAAATAAAATGATTATTTGAGATGTCAAGCACGGTCTTGTGAGCACCAAAGAATTAGCATGCAATAGCTTTTACTTTAGAATTGGATAAGCTGTTATAGAACATGATGCGTCTTTGTGATAAGACGGTTGATTCAGTAACTCACTAATGTATTCCCAGAGTGTGGTTTATACTATGCATAAGTGAATAATTTTTTAAGGGTCATATTTACTGCTAGAGTATTGGTAAATAAAAACAGACAAACAGCAATATGTATGAATAGAAGACAATGTTTTCAAAAGCATGGTAAATAATTCAGAACACAGCAGCAATATTTAAGGGCAATTCAATCTTCATCTTCCCTTTCAGATCAGTTTTTCAACACAATGGAATTTAGGACACTGTGAAGACTATTTAAAAAAGTGTGCATCATTTGGATTAGAGCACTTTGTGTGCAAACTTAGGAAGTGTCAATATAGGTGAAAAACTGAATTTGCAGTCATGCCAGAACACTAATTCCAAAAAAAAAATCTGAAAAAGAAGAGACCTTCTAATGCATCTGCTCATGGGAAGCCATTTAAAAAAAAAAAGGCATATGAAAAAGCTGCATTAAGTAACTATTTTGGAGATGGATCCTAAGGAACTGCAAGAAACTTCAAACACATTTGTTCAGAACTGCCAGGACAATTTTTTTCTAACATTCTGAAGTATGGACACACAAACACACCACAGCACCAATATAATAAAGTATCAATCTAATGCACACTACCTTCTGTAAGAGTTAGGGGTTCACCAACAGAGATTTTTGGGGTTCATACCAATGGCTGATTTTTAATGAGCCATATGAGCTGATACAGATCCAATTGCCAACATGCAGCCGGGCAGCGTGGAGAGCAGGGTTTGTTGTGGGCGAAGGGAAAAGGGGGGAGGGAAGGGGCATGGGGTGTGGCCCCAGCGGTGAGGGAGGGAGTGGGGCTGGGGCATGGGCAGGCACTGCACAGCCAGGGTGGGAAGCAGGACAGAGCAATGGCTTGTCCAGGGAGTGCGGGGAGGCAGTGGTGGTTCCCGTGGCTGCATGCATCACAGGAGAGCAGGGGGGCTGTGTGCCCCTGGATCAGCATGTGGGACAAAGGCGGTGCTGGGGTCTTCCCAGCAGGGGGCTGGGCTGGACTGGGCTGCATTTGGAGTGGGCGGTGGCAGCAGTAGGAAGAGGCTATGGCAGGGGTGGGACTGCAGCCACCCCAAAATTTGCTGTAGTCCCCCCCCATCTCCACTCCCAGTACCACCGCCTGCCCTGAGCACAGCTCCAGCCTAGCCCCCACCAGCACTGCCCCCCAGTCCCAGCCCACAGCAGCAGCTTACCCATGCCCCATGCACAGATTCAGGGACGTGCCCCACCATGCCCTTACAGGGTGCGTGCAGTGATGGGAGCTGCCACCCCCCTCCCCATGCCCCCTGGATGAGCCGTAGCTCCATCCAGCTCCCTGCCTCAGCTATGCAGTGCCTGCCCCTGTCCCACTCCCTTGATCTGCCCCCCTCATCCCTTCCCTGACAACAGACTTACCAGCTGGACCTGGCTGCTCTCCAGGCTGCCAGGATGTGCTCCTGGCTTCCTGCGTGCTGCGCAGCAGCTGCACGCATGCCTGGGGCATTTATCAGCCACATCAACCCAAAGAGCTGATTGCTGATGCTGTCAATTTTCCTTAAAATCAGTGCACCTCTAATAAGAGTGAATGTTGCTTGTACAATCTCCAAACCAACTCAATCTTCACATACTGTAAGTACTGAAGGCTGCAATGGAAGTGACCTTTAGTATAACATCCCATTGCTATACCCAAAGGAATAAATCCTTTATTCTGTCATTTATGGAAGCTAAATTCGCACACTACAATTTTTATGTGCTTTACTGGCTCTTACAGGAAGCATCTAATTTGTGTTTATTGCTCTAAATCAGTGGTTTTCAACCTGTGGGGGTTTGTCTAAAGGGTCCATGAAAGATAACTATGATTAATCAAAAGTATGAGAATATTCACTTACAATTCAAAGGGATCCACACCTCCATTCAAAGTATTTTATGGGTCCACAAATGAAAAATGTTTGAAAACTATTTATTTAAATCGTTTTGGACTATCATATTCTGTTTCAACACTGAACCTTTAGAATTTTCCAAAGCTAGCTACCCCTTCAATTCCTTTATCAGTTGATTACATTCACCTACCTTAAAGATATAATCAAAAAAGTGCATAAACAGAAAGGCTTACCGGACGTAAGCTGACATTCAGAGTTTTGTAACCTTACATTTTCTCTGCAACAACATTTGGCCTGTCTTCAAGGCTATATGCCAGATTTATACTAAAATAAACAGAAGCCTGGAGTGGAAAGCACTTGCCAAAACTCCTCTGAATGCCATAATATACAGAACTGTTAAGATGACACATTATAACTGCACTACTTGTCTTTGGTGTTTACAAACATGCAAGAAATACTATTAGTTCATGAGAGCTGCCAATGACTGACAGCACAGGACCCGTCACAAGTCACAATGCTCTTCAGTGAAGTTTAAATTGATAAGCCAGACTCAGAAGGAAATTACATACCTAAATTGGTATCTGCTCGCACTAACAGCTGAGTTTTCTCGTTTCCTGCAGGCTTCAAGTGCAGTGTTCCTATGCCCTTTTCTTTAAATTCATTATTTTTTTTGTAGAACAGTTTACACCTATGCAAAAGAGGTCACACACAATATTATTAGACATGTAAAAATATTTTAAGAACTTCCCCAAGTACACAATGCACTTCTCTATTTAAGCCTTAAGCATTTAACATCCTACAGCTTTATAAACAAACCCCACTACATATCCTGTCTCCTAAATCTTCTCTCATAAAATACATTTAGGTTTTTATTTCAACTACCCATGCCTGACAACCCTAAACCAGGGGGGCAAACCATTTGTATCATTATTTCTGTGAAAATATTATTGATTAGGCTCCAAGGCCAACGTTGTAAAATTTCTGAAACAAACTGAAACCAAGCTATGGAAGACTTGACTACCCACATTCTTTTCAACACTTAAACCACATATACAGTACACAATATTTACATGCAAGGACATCACACCTATAGTGCATAAGAGGGCAAGACAATTAAGTTAAGAAAAAGTATTCAAATGTAAATACGTAGTACATGAGAAAATACAGTACTGTATACCCCAGAACAGAATATGCACCTTGTCTTGGAAAGGCAGAATAAAGAGAAAAGATTTAAAAAGAGAGTTATGGCTGTACAGAGCAGGAACAGAGCCTAATCTTCAGTTGACTCATTGCCCTTCCTTCCTAAATAAAGCTACAACCTAGCTGCTCCACAAGACTGGTCTCCTTGCATGGATTTATGATTCTGAAAAAGAGCTAAATAGTCTCCAAAGCTGTAAAAAAGAGAAGAAGAGAGACCAGAAGCAGCTAGCAGAAAGCAAAACTGCCCCTAAAAAAAGGGCTAGTTTGATTAGAACATCAAAACTATTATTTTGACACAGAGAGAGAGGTTAACACCTCCGGAGTGAAGTAGAATGAGCTATTAAGTCAACTCACTACCTTCACCGTCTGAACAGTAATGCAACAGCTGCTATACTGGAGAAGGAATCAAAGTAGAGTGCTTCCATCCTGGACAGTAACTCAGCTTCCCTACTTAATGCATGCAGGAGGGGGCAGACTGGGAAGGAAAGAGGTGCGCTAGTATGCAAGTAAATATGGTCATCCCAGCCATTCTATAGGAATGTGCTAGAAAACAGGGAATCAGTCTCGCATGATAAAATCAAAACTTAAGAAGCAACATCAGAGCACTGTTCAAAAGAGGAGATTTGAGCTTGTTAAAGTCAAAACCTCTTAACTTCCACATTTTTACCTGCTATGTTGAAAGTTATGCTGAAATAGATCAGGTATACTTTGAGCACCTTTCTTCAAAAATACTGAAAGATGGAAGCCCAGTTTTGCAATAGGTAAACAGATACATAACATCACCCACACACCATTTACTTCTACAGGACAGTTCAGGTGTTTGAAACTGAGCTTGCACAGAAGGGGTGGAGGGTGGGAAGTCTTGCCATGAACAGCAGTTACATCTGTGTTGAGAAATATGCTTTTTCCTGTCTCAAAATGTGAGTACACATGTACTGAGGTGTTTTTTGTGGAATAAAAGCAGTTGTTCTGTGAAGTACTGTATCTTTCAAAGAACAATTTCTCTAGAGAGATTTTTTTAGCACCATAGGTAATAGCTGTACAGTTACACATAGTACACTAGGAGTCTCTTGGGTCCCCAGTATTCCAGTACCTTGCTCTCTATCACCTCCCTCCAATGGCCCCTCCCGATAACTTGCTGCTGCATAGGTGGTCAGGTCACCCAGCACTGCTGTCCCCTTGCAAATGGCTCAGCTGACCATGTAGCTGTCCCCTGCCTCTGGCATAAGCAGCAAGTGTGGCTGCAGAGTGCACCTTTGAGGCAACTTTGTGCACTCCAACCAGGGAGCTGGAATATATATATATCTTCTTCCTAATTCTGCAAGTTTACTGGAAATTCTTAGGATGGCAATGGAATGCCTGTCTATACCCTTTGGAGCCTCAAATACTACAGATGTGCTTTTAATGGTTTTAATTTAAGAGCAGTATCATATCAAAACAATACTGCTTCAATATTAACAATAAAAAGCTAA